AGGGGTGCTAATGTAAATATATGAACTTAGGTCCCATGGAGATATCACTAAGGACACTCAAATAAGTGGCCATAGTGCGGTTGCATCGCACTCACAAAACCAAGCTTCCACACTTATATGATAAAAGAATTGTCTAGAAAAACATCTTACCACAATTAATATAGCCTAAAAATCTCCATAGCTCAGTCTCACTCAAGTCTTAATCACAACAAATAGGCATCCTCACAATAAGATGTAGTAACTCAAAGTTACAACATATAACATAATCGGGCTTCAGACACTAGTGTCCCACAATTTGGCCAGTCAACAGAGCAACCCATGCTGCAATGACATGTCACTAAAACACTACAATGTAGCCAAACATAGCTCTACAATGCTTTATATGAGTGCCAAAGTGTTGTAATATAGCATACAAAAAAACTACAACATTACACTAACACATTAATGCCTCAAGCAAATGCCTAAGGCGTGAGAGGTTTTCAAAAGAAGGGTTGTAACTAAACTTGTGCTCGCATGCAATCCCCGAGGAGAAGGCGAAAACCCAAACCTTGGGACCTCTGTAATGATACATGACGAAACCATACTTGTAACCTTTCTATTCCAAATCTAACCAAATAACAAACTTTCCCACTTTGGGCGAAATTCCCTCTTACATTACTTCATTTGGGGGAAAACATCTCTATAAATAGAGGACTTAAAATTCCCCAAGAGGGAGAAACATTACATTTTCCCTACCTCCCTACATAGGCTCAGCCAGACTAACTTGTTTCGCCCCTTACTCTCTCTCTCTCTCTCTCTCTCTCTCTCTCTCTCTCTCCCCTGCCCTTCTCTCTTCTCTCTGAGAGGCAATTGCTGTTCCTAGACCTTCAGAGATTTGACCACCACAATCATGGAGTCTCTGCGGCCAACAATAGTAAAATGGTCTTTACAGGCCAAGGGGTTATCAAGTTGTATCAATCATATTGAATAACTGACAACCTGAGTTATTCATAACCACTGCAAACGGATCAGATACAGCTACATCTATACCCAAATCGACTATCTAAACATTGGATCTAAAGCTGATCTAAAAACTAATATATATGTCAAACTTAGATCAAATTCACATTTAATCTCCATTTTATTGTGTTTAAAATGACCAAAAAAAATTAAGTTTTGAAAAACCTAATTATTTTTAACTAATACATGTATTAAAATATAAAATATTAAATTTATCAATAAAAAACTTTATATAATTGGGTATTTATATAATATAAAATAATATTTTTATAAGACTCAAATTTTAATTTTAATCAGATCAGATGGAGCAGTGTTTTTAAACCGTCATTGATCCGGATGGTCAGACCATTCGGCTCGGGAACTATCCAAGCAACCAGTTCTGTTTCACCCTTAACCTAGTTTTTGGCCAAAAACCGTTGATTTGATCTGTGATCCCCTAACTCAAGTGAACGACCCATTTGACCCATTCAATGGTTTTTGCCATTTTTATTTTAATTTTTTAATTTTTTAAGTTAGAATAAACCATCCATTCAAACTGAATGGTCAAACCGCTAACACAAAAACCAGTGGCCAAAACAATTCAATTCCGAGTTGGTTTTTAAAACCTAGGGATGGGGTTAATTAGCATATAATCTCCGGTGCAATTTTTACCATCCAAATCCGATATATTTGGATTCACAGTCAAATCGATCGAATATCAGAATTTCGGAGTCCCTTGACATCCCTAATAACCAATGCCTTCACAAAAATGCAGCTTCTCCCATCTGAACGATATACAGAATTGGTTGGTTGTATTTAGTGGTAAACCCATCAGGGTTCGTGTAATCGTGTTGGGTTTGGTCTGGACCGAACTTCAGCCATTTATACCGAATTGGTTGATTGTATTTGGCCAATTTTTTAGCCTTCAAAAAAAAAAAAAAAACCAACCAATTGACATTCTGCATTAAAATATGAATCTATGAAATTCATGCATTATAATGTACATGAGTATAAGTAAAAATATTGTGTTTCAGTATTCGAATTAGACTGGATTTTCAATTCATCTTTAATTTTGCTAACACAAGGGATTAAGAGTTGATATATGATCTAGGGATTTCAATGGATCGGATTAATTTGTAAACCCATATTAATCCGGTCCTTCAGGCTGAATTCGAATCAATCTTCATTGAATTCAGGTTGATCCACTAACACAATGCCCGATTAACGGAAATGGGGCGGAACAGGTTCAAGACCTTATGTAACGCTAACAAAATTGGAATGCCCAGGGTTACTAAAATCATTTTTATAAGCTGCCTAGCCACTTGACGACATCTCAGTCGTTGTAGTATAGTGGTGAGTATTCCCGCCTGTCACGCGGGCGACCCGGGTTCGATCCCCGGCAACGGCGATTTTTTCTTTTGTTTTTTTTTCAAGAAAAAAAAAAAACCATCATATGTATAACAATTGCCATGTAATTCTGGCAGGACCCTTATGACAATATGAATTGGGTCGAGTGGTATCAAGATCATATCAACCCAAAACTATTTTTGAGTTACCTGTTAATAGATGAATTTGTGTTAATTTTTATTATTTTTATTATATTTTATTAGTTTTGCAACTATTAAATGTTATCCACAAGCATTGTTAAGTGACATTTATACAAGAGCCTTAGAACATTTGTAATTGGGCAAACTGGAAAAGCCCAACCTTATCAATCTTAGCATTATTCTTGAGTAATGTATTGTCTAATAAACTAAAAAAGAAAAAAACAAAGCTCTAGAAGGGATTAGGGAGAGTTGTTTCCTTTTTATTATAAATTTAAAAATAATACATTATTTTAATTAAACTATGTTTTTATTAATTCATACAAAATTTAACTAAAAATAATATTTTATAAGACTATTAATAATTTTTTATTGTTTATTATTATGTTAATTTTTTATTAACAATTGAAATTTTAATTTTTTATAAATTTAGTAAAATTAATTTTACTATGGAGTAAGTTAATAAAAGTAAGTTGTTTAATTTATTTTAATTAATAAATTACTTAATTAGTTAATCATGTAAAGTAAGTTGTTGATTTTTAATTTCCCTTACTTTTACTTTTCAATTGTTTCCTCATTTTTAATATTTTATTGATAAATATCACTTTTAATATGTAAAAAAATTCTATGAAAATTATCTTATTTTATTAGTTAATTAAAAAATTAAGTTTCTACTTTTATTTTTTTTATCTTCTTTTAGAAAAGTACCCTTATTTTATCATTTTTCTATTTATTAACGAATATTTTAATAAATTTTCTGTTATCTTCCCTTATTTTTCTGATTTTTCTATTAGTTTCTAATTAAAAATTTATTTTTAGTAAAAAATTCCCTTATTTGATCTTTTTGTTTTCAAAATTACATAATTGGGTTGAACCAAACAAACCAGATCCATCTAGTTCAGTATGAATTGGAAATTAAAGCTTGCAAGTGGACAATTTTTGGGTATTCAAAGTACCCGATCCTACTCTTTTTATTTTGAAAATTGCATTACTAAATCAAATTGATCAAACTACATTGGTAATTGAAGCTAGTGGGTTAAATAGTTTTCAAGTATTCAAATAACCCAACCTATGGACTTCGTCTTTCTTATGCATAACAACTTTTAGGCCCATGGTTTATTTCTTATTATGCAATGAAATTTTAACACAACTTATAGAAAAATTTAGCGAATTTTTAATAGATCTTTTTCTGAAAATGTAATAGATAAAGTATTTTATTGAAAACTTAATTAACAGTTAAAATTTATATATTAACAAAAACTTGTTAATTAATAGTGTTTTTAGTATTTATTTTCAAGATATATTTTCAAAAATTTATATAAACAAATTTGGTAGACCAACTCGGATCAATGAAAGTTTATTCTAATTGATAACTAACTAAATTAGGCAATCACTTTTTGGGTTATGTAATGATCCAATCCATTAGAGCCATCTTCTTGACCCATTTCTTGTTAGAGTGTTCACTTGACGAACACAATAGAGTTTCAACGTTAATACAAATAGTGGTGTGTAGGTCCCCAAATATGCAATGGAGAGAGATATTTTATAATTAAAATATTATTTATAATTGTAATAATATTTTTTAATTTTATTACCTTACTTGTATTATTTGTTTTATTGTATTATTTATTTTTTTCTCTTATTTTAGATATGTTTACTCATATTATTTCAATATTTAAGTTTTAAATGCTTATATATCGAAGGTATAGAGATATAAAGATAGAAAATGATAGATGGGTAGAGATAAGAGGAAAGGAAAGAAGTGTTTGAATTAGATGATTTATTGGGTATGTGAAACAGATTATGAGGTCTTTTAGGGGAAGTTTTAGTTAGGGGACATAATTTAGGCTCAATTTGGAAGGAGTACAAATATGTAGAGTACGTAGAGTGTGTATTTTGTATTATTTTGTATATATTTGTATTTGGATTCTTTCCTAACTGAGCCTTAGGCTGTGTTTGAAAGGAGTATAAATGCAAATATGCAGAGCACAAAATTTGTAGGTCTAACCAAGTTAAACTAAGCTATAAATGATCATCCCTAAGAAGCAGTTTTATGACATTTCTAATCAGATCATTCTTAGTTTTATTACTTTAATCAATTATTATAATTTATATATTGAATGCAAATGGTTTTGCTTTATTACTTTTAAGATTTTTTACTTTTTCTTATTAATATTAATTATCCTATTAATATAGTTATTTTTAAATAGGATTCAAATGTATTTTAATTTTAAATTTATGAACTACTAATTTTTATTAATTTCTTGAGTAAATTACAAAGATCCCCCTCTACTATGGGGTCTGTGATAAATACGTCCTTGTACTATGACCGTGAGACAAAAACCCTCTTAAGTTAGCCTTCCCTTGAAATCTGTCGTTGCAATATTTGTTAATCCCCGTACTACCCTTGTAATAACTACTCGAAGAAAAACACATTTCATCTTCCCCGAACAGAGGCAGCCGTAGCTGTCTCTCTCTCCCCGATCTCTCTTCTTCCCCTTCCTCTTCCTCTTTCTCTCCTCCCCTTTCTTTTTCCCGATTTCCTATGTTTTCCGTTCCTTGCAGCTCTAGGTGTTTATTATTGCTTTCTTTTCACGTTTAGGCTTTTAGTTTCTTGCTCAGTTTCTTGTCCAGAGATTTTGATTGAACTCTGTTTATCTATATCTTTTGTCGTTGTGGCCCATGGATTCAATTGCCTCCCCCTCAAAGTCATACACACCCATCGGGCGATCTGGGCCTCTGGCTTGCTATTGCGAGACAATGTAAAAGTTCTATTTCATTAAAAGCAAATTCCTTTTTCTTGAACGGCGTATTAATTGTGACCTGGAAGTGAAAGAAGGGGAAGAATAAGGGTTTTCGTGTTTCTTTCCCCCTTCCCTTTTCTAAGATTTCTTTTATATGTTTTTTCTTCCGGTAGCCGGGTTTCTATTACCCATCATCTTCTGTAATTTTTTAATCTTCTTCACTTCTATTTCATGCACCATGTATGCTTGAATCTCTTTCTCTTTTTTCGTCTATCCTCTGTATTTGGAATACGTGGGCGATTCCTATTCTTTAGAGAGGAAAATCTCTTTATCTATGTATTGGATGTATATTGTTGTTGCTGATGATGATAGATCATTCACTTTTTCCTTGGGTCTTGCATTTGGGTCATGATTTCTTGACATTTTCCCACTGGTTTTCTATTAGTTGTGTAAGAGGGCTTTCTTTGTAGTGTCCTGCATGTGAATTCTTTATTTCTATTTGTCTTCCTATGATTAGAAGAAAAGCTGAGAGACCTTTGTTTCCCCTTTGTTTTGAAGGAAATTTAGATGGAGGAGGGAGGCGAGTTCCACTGCTGGGGTGAACTAATACCCGATGCTCTCGGGCTAATCTTCAAAAATCTTTCTCTTCAGGAAATTCTTACTGTGATTCCGAGGGTCTGCAAATCTTGGAATAGAGCAATAATGGGTCCCTAGTGCTGGCAAGAGATTGACATTAAGGAGTGGAGCCTCCAGTGCCAGCTTGAGCAGGTAGATCGAATGCTTAAAATGCTCATCACAAGAAGTTGTGGTTCCCTACGCAAACTTTGTGTGTCTGGCCTTCCCAATGAGCCTCTTCTCTCCTTCATTGCAGACCAGTAAGAAGACCACCTTTGTCCATTCACCATTTACATCCTAATTCCTACTTTATGCAAAACTTGAATAGCTCCCTTGCAACTCATAGTCACACACAGATTTCAGATGATATTTATAGTGCTTTTTCATTCTGGTTCTTTGTTCTACTAGCCAATTTCTTGATTTGGGGTTTATTCTTATTTGTTTTGCAAGTTCTACATCCCTTCAGACTTTGCAGTTGTCGATGAGTGAAATAAGTGATTCAATGGCGGAACAGGTAGCAGGGAGGTTGTCTACCATCTCTTTCTTGGACCTAAGCTACTGTAAGAATATTGGTGCCTGTGCATTAGAGGCGATAGGAAAGCACCGTAAATTGCTAGTTGGGGAAGAAGAGAGATCCGGGGAGAGAGAGAGAAAAGGAGGACTTCGGAAGTCCGTTGTTATAGCTACCGCCACTACTATTCGTGTATTTTTCACTGGGTCTTTGTCTCATAGTCAGTACAGGGGGGTCTTTGTCACAAAACAAAGTACAGGGGGGTTTCTGTAATTTATCCTAATTTCTTAATTTTTAATAGTTGCTAGATATAAAACTTATTAAAATTTAATATCTTTTATAAACATTAATAATTTTTTATTAATTTTAGTTATTAGGTTTCAAATTATAATTTTCTAACAATTAGATAACTAATTAAATTTGAATATAAAACAAAAAAAATGAAATTTGGATGAGAGTAAAATTCTCTTTTTCTTTAGAATACAATGAGCTAATAATAGAAGAGGCCTATAGAAATATGTTAAAATAGGTTCGATGATAGATGTGGTGGAACCTATGTCTTAGAACTCTCTCTCTCTCTCTCTCTCATTATTTTAGATGATCTAACTACTTATGATAAATTTATTAACTAGTTGCTCTTTGTTTACAACCTTACAGGCAGGGTTGGGCCTACGTCGACCTTAAAGTATTATGCCCAAGTGTGGCACCAAAATTTGTGGGCCTGATGTGGGCTTGGGCTGATTTGGATTGAAATGATCACTTATAAGAAAATTGCTTTTGGTTTATTAGATTAATGAGGAGAGGAGAGAGAATAAAATAAAAAATACAAATGATTCATTGAATTTTAAGAAATTAAATGGAGTAACTAAGAAAAGAGAGAATTAGTGGAGCGAGTGGTTGGAGGAGGGAGAGTTAATGGGATGATTAAAGAGGAGAGATAATCAAAGGAATTAATGAGAAAAAGAAAGAGAGTTAACGAGGAGAATTGAAAGTCTTAAAGACTTGAAGTTGATTGGCTACTTTGAGTTATTTTGTTCAATTTAAAAAAAATAAATAAAAAGCCACAAAATAGATAAATATAAGGAAGAAAGGAGAAGGCTGTTGACATGGCAAGCCCAATTTTGATATATGAATATAGATATCTAATGGCATATTGAGCTAGCCTATGCCACAAGATGGGCTGGCCCATGGGCCGAGCCTTGAGTCAGGTCAGGTTGTGCATCGGGCCAAAGCTATTTATTTAAAAAAAATTGACAAAAAACTTAAAAATTTAATTTTATGTGAATTTTGTGTGTAAAATTGTTTATAATATTATATAACTACATATAAAAAATATATAAATATATATAATATATATGGGTTGTGCTGTGGGCCGTGCTGGGTCGGGCTGTGGGCTAGGTCGTGCTGTGTCGTGCCGGCCCATGGACCTAAAACCCCAGGCCCAGCAAGACCCGCATGGTTGTGCCGGGCCTAGCACGGTCCACGGGCCGTCATGCCAGGTCGTGTCGGGCTACAGGCAGTACAACCCAATTTACACCTCTAACCAAACCAAGTACAACCCATGCATTATTTTTGGGTTTTCACTATTTTCAAATAAAAGTTATTAATATTAAGGCCAAAGAGTTATGGCTGATGAGTGACCCCCATTATGTATTCTAGTGAACCAAAAAGATAAAATAAAAAATATAGGGCTAGATTTTGATAGTTTATATATTAATATAAAATATGTTATATATATATATATGTAAAATTATATAAAGTTGTAATTAGCTTGGGCCCGACATGCTAGGGCTTTCAATGGAGATTGAAAGTCTAATGCCCGGTTTGATTCTGAATCTATTATCCTAGATATGGATCTTAGAACTTGCATCCATTTAATAATCAGATCAAGTGCAAATTTAACCCAATCTAGTCCAATTAAAATCCAAGTCCAATATATAGATAGATAGATAGATAGATAGATAGATAGATAAAATTATATAAAGTTGTAATTGATAAATTTAATATTTTATATTTATATACATTTATAATACATATATACTTTAAAAATAATTAGCTTTCCAATTTTTTTAATTTTTTGGTCATTTTAAACATAATAAGATGGTTGTGGATTAAATCTAAATTTGATGCAATGTCTAACATAATAATTGGATTCGAATGCAGATTTAGAGATTTCATAATCATATGCAAGTGTGGATCCAGCTGGATCCAATCTGAATCTAATCCTTCTACAACCCTTTTGCTCACTATATGTGTGGGCTTGGTGCAAATATGAGTTATACCTTGCTCAGAAGAAAATAGTTGAACGAGCTTGCAAATTTGTAGCTCTAGCTAGGTTGGACTAAGTTATAAATGGTCATCCCTAAGTAGGAGTCTTATGACATTTCTAATTGGACCATTATTATTATTTTAATTAATTTTTATAACTTTTATATGTAATGCAAATGGTTTATTTTATTAGTTTTAATATTTTTTACTTTTTATTATTAACTTTCATTATCTTATTAATATTAGTTATTTTTAACTATATTTCAAATGTGTTTTATTTTCAATTTTTTAATTTTAATAGTTACTAGATAAAGACTTGTTAAGTTTTACTATTTTTTATTAACTTTAGCATTTTATTTTATTTTAGTTATTAGGTTTAAAATTTTCTTCTTCTCACAATTAATCAATCAAATATAATTTGAATATAAAACAAATAAATAAAATTTGGATGAGAGTGAAATCCCCTCCCTTTGGAATATAATTGGCTAATAATGAAAGAGACTTATAGAAATATGCTAAGAACTCATAGTTATTTCCATTACTAGAAAAATCACCTACAGAGGCAACAAAAAATGCCTTTTTAAAAAAAAAAAAAGTTGCCTCTAAAAAGAATAAGAGGCACTCAGGTGATTGCCTCTAAATGCCTAGCCTCTAAATGTTATAGAGGAATTTGACTGATAATTAGAGGCACGTTTGATAAATGCCTCCAAAAATAAGATATTGAGGCACATAATCATGCCTGTTTAGCATTGTCGCTAAAAACATCATATAGAGGCATGTATGAATGCCACCAAGTGTACATTTTTAGAGGCATTTTAATTAAATTTGAAGCAAATTTATCGGCCTCTAAAAGTAATTTTAAGAATTCTACTTATGCTTTGTAGTAGCATTTGTAATTGCCACTAAAAGTATTGGTTGCTCTTATTTAGAGGCATTTATGACCGCCTTTGAAGATCATTTATTTGTGTTTTATAAAATTATTGACGTATTTATTAAAATATAGCAATTGTTTTTAAGTATTATTTCATATTAATTTGCATTCCTTTTCTTTTACAATTTATAAGAAAAAAAATACATCAACAAAAAGAAAAAATTAGTCAAATTAGTAATTTTTGAAAAATAAAACATCTTTAACCATCTAATTATATATTGCATGATTCTTACCTTAAAAACAACCTTGGGAGGGTAGCCTCGTCCTAGTCTTGCACCAAAACACTACTTCATTTTGTGACTTAATACATTTTTACGATTTCAAGGCATCACCTAGTTTTTTTTTTTTTTTTTGTGAATAGATATGTATACAAAGATAGGAAAATAGTGATGATCTCAAGTCATTGATGACTAGATAGGTATACCAAGATAAAGTAGTTGAAATCTTAGTTTTTTCAGTTCCGTCCACGGGACAAAGGCCTGTTCGATTGGGTATGGACGGACCGGTCCTGCCCACACCCCAATATAGCGTGGATGGGTCCCATCCACACCCCAGTATATCATCAATGGAAAAAACTCGCGGATACATCCCGTCCACGATTTGTTTTTGATCCTATGCTTCAAGGAGCAGGGGTCAGAGGCTGTGTGATCTAAGACAGTCTGCAGATACATAAAGATACACCTTCAGTTTTATCTCTGAAATTCCTGTAGTTGCATTTCGGTTGTATGATCTAAAATATTAATTATTTTACTTAATTTTTTAATTTTTATAAATTTTTTATCAATAAAATAATATTTTTAAAAATTAAAAATGTATTTTTATTTTTTTTAATTATTTTACTATTTTTATAAAAAATTAATATTTATTGGTTAATATTAATTCATTGATGCATTTTTAAAATATTTATCATATAAAATGCAAAAATTAGATATTTACGGGGTGTTCTGTAGTATGGATGAGAAATTGGTGGGTGTGGACTGGTCCACACCACACCTTGTGGCAGGGACTAATCCACACCACACCATAGTCCACAACTCTTATGAACTATGGACAAACTATGTGGATTGGACTAGTCCACACCATACTTTTTTTATTCCATGTATTTCATATACATTTTATAAATGATATACACAGTTAATCATAAATATCTAATTTTTGCATTTTATATGATAAATATTTTTAAAAAATGCACCAATGAATTAATATTAACCAATAAGTCATGGTTTTCAAAACCGAACTGGACCGGATGGTCGGATCGGAAAAAAATGAGAACTAGTTAGGTGACTGATTCCGTTTTTCTCAAAAACTAGAAATTTGCAAAAAAAAAAACGTTGATTTGGTCAACAAACAACTAACCCGGGTGATTGAACCGTTCAATGGTTTTGACCATTTTTTATTTTTTCAATATTTTTAATATATTTTCTTTTTTTGTTAGAACAGGCCAACCGTTCGACCCAGGAACCGGATCCTTGACCGGTTCGTTCTCTAGGCCGGTTTTAAAAACCTTGCAATAAATATTAATTTTTTTATGAAACAATAATAAAATAATTAAAAATTGAAAAAATATATTTTAAATATTTAAAAATATTATTTTATTGATAAAAATATTAAAAATTTATAAAAATTAAAAAATTAAGTAAAGTAATTAATATTTTAGATCATACAGTCGAAATGCAACTGCAGGAATTTTAGAGATAAAACTGAAAATGTATCTCTGTGTATCTATACTCTATCTTAGATTACACAACCTCTAACCCCTACTCGTTGAAGCATGTGATCAAAAATAAACTGTGGACGAGACGTATCCATGAGTTTTTCCCATTGACGATATATTGGGGTGTGGCATAGACTAGTCCCATCCACAGCCGAACAGGACCAAATCCCATGGATGGGACCGAAACAGTCCCATCCACGAGATATACGCAATGCCAAACACCACCTTAATGAGCAATCAACTTAATTTACAGATTTTGTCTAGGGATGTAAATGGGACAAATTTTATGCAGGCTCACCTTATCCTATTCCCTATGCTAAGGCACCCAGTACCA